TCTCCTCTTGGGATTTTGGGTACACACACACGTGACTGGCATGATTTTCAAGCCCCTGGATCCAGGACTTGAACTGTGATCCACCATGTGGGAATCCAGTGCCTTAACCACCATACCACCTGCTGGCCCCCCTCCCAGGACTTGTTTACGAGTTTGCTTCCTGTCTCTAGGAGTCTAGTTTGTGTAGGTTGAGGGGTTGTAAGATCTAGGAAGAATATTGCTAACCAAGAAACATAGAGATGGCTTCATTGTATTTTGGGCATTTCAGGCTTCTCAAAGCACTGGAACAGAGGAAAGGGGGACTGATAATGACTAGCAGGGGACCGAAGTCACTACTAAATAAAGGTGAGGAGGGACCAGCAGAGGGCGTAATGGCTACATCGCTGGACTCCCACATGATTAATCATGGTTCGAGTCCTGGACCTGGTGGCTTGAAACTCATACCAACCGCATGTGCATGTATGCCCAAGATCCCGAAAGGAGGAGGGTGAGAAGGGATTGCAGCACGGCCATCTCCCCTGGGGGGTGATTTCTTGCTTTGTGTCTCTGTCTCTCTGGTGAGTACACACGCCCTATTGTAAAAAGCTCTCTCTCCAAGAGAGAGGCTGGAGAGATGCATGAGTGGACTCTGGGCGACCCCTCGGTCACCACCTCGTGCTGCTGTACTGATCAGGGTTCCTCTGATCGCCAGGGATTCTCCTTGAGTTACGTTTGGCAAAATAATGGTCTCCCTGGAAAGCGTACAGAACTCCGTGGCCTCAGGGAACCGAGCCTCGGCTGTTACCAGGACTGTCTCTCATATCTGCTTCGTGGTCAATGTCATCTTCTCCCACTACAGCCCGACTTCTACTTGGAAGGGAATTGCTGCAGCTCCAAGCTCACATCTTCCCTGCTTCGTCCTTCCTTTCGTTGTATTTCAGCCAGTCCCAGAGGACTGTGACGGGCTCACCAGGAGTGGGCTTCCTGTCCCAGATTCATCTGCTCCTGTTGGCCCATTTGCTAAAGCTGGGAGGGGGCCCAGCCAGAGTCCCGGAGAGGGAAGGGAGAGGCAGCCCTCTGGTTAGACCAGACAGTTCTGTGGTTTACAGTTCTGTGGTCCAGGAAGACCGTGTAACCCTAGACCACCGCAGCTCGGAGCCTTTAGGAGTGAGGATTTGGCCACCTCTTCTAAGGGAGGAAACTCTGACCGGCAAGGGGGACTGGCAGTGGGTAAGGGAAAGGGGAAACCATAGGCCCTGGACCTGCTGTAGAAACGGGGCAGAGGTCTCCACCTGCACTGTCTCAGCTGGGGGAGAGCATGAAGTGTGAGTCACTTCTGCTTCCTGTTTTTCATTCCCTTTTCTCTCTTAGCAGAGACACCGTCATCATCATAAAAATTGTTTGCTCTCCCGTTGTCAGTGGGATTTAATCTGCCATTTTGTCTCTAGGTTGCAGAATAGTGAGTCAGAATCCAGCGGGAATCAAGGCAGAGCTGGGGGAGGATGCCTCATACCTTAGGGTCAGGGTCAGCCAGTATTCTGTTCTCTGTTGCTGCAAATTGGTCCCCAACTGCAACACTTCTGCCCAGGGAGGAGAGCAGGGGGGAGTCAGGCCTCACTGAACCAGAACCCTGACAAGACTCCACTCTGGTTTGGAACCAGGGCTCCTATTCCTCCCTTCCTTTCACATTTTGCCAGAGAGAACATGCTCTGGCTGGAGAGAGAGCCAGAGAGAAACAGAGGACACGCACACATGCACACATGCACACACACATACATGCACACACACAGTGAGAGAGAGGGATGGCCACACCATGATTCCTTAGGATTTGGGGCATGCACATGGGCCTGGCATGTTTTTGAGGCCAGCGGGTATGGACCAAAATGTGATGCAGGCATGTAGGGCCCAGCTCCCTGAACCACCACACCACCCGTGTGACCCCAGGGACCCTTTCTTATCTGATGTTCATCTGATGTTCTCCTCATTTAACTACAAGCACAGAAGCCCACCAGGCAGGCTTTATGGAGGGGGGCCCCCAGCCGGTGGGGCCGAAGCTACTCCTCTCCCATACAGGGCCTTAGTTCGAGCCCTGTCCCAGAGCAGATTTTGTCTTCTCTTAAACATCGTTTAGGGGCTGGCAGGTGGCATGGTGGTTGATGTGCTGAATTCCCATATGACTGACTGCGGTTCAAGTCCCAGACCAGGCAGCTGATAAATCACAACAAATGAACAGACAAATCAATAAATGTTTTTAAAATAAATTAAAATCTTAAAAACATAGCTTTTGGGCTGGCAGGTGGTAAGGTGCTGGACTCGCACATGGCTGACCATGGTTTGAGTCCCAGGTCTGGCGGCCTGCTTTCTCACTCTCCTTCCCTCTGTGTCCATCTCTGGCCAAATTAAGAATTAGTAATAATAATGATACATAAAATTAAGTAAATAATTTTAAAAAACTAGCTTTTATTCAGCAACTTTAATCAAGTAAGTATAGCGTAAATATATAATTCCAAATTGTGATAAATGCTATGAAGAAAAGGAAAGAAAGTGCCCTGGGGTCACGTAAGGGATGGGGGACTAATCTGGTCTAGGGAGTCAGAGAGGACTTATCTGAGAAGGGATTGAAAGATGCCTAAGTCGAGCAAGGGAAGCGAGTTTCAGGCAGGGGAAGGCGTGTGCAGAGCCGCATTGCAGAGAGCAGCGCGGGCCCGCGGCAGGGGGGTCGGTAAAGGACGGAGCTGCAGAGGCAGACGAGGCGGGACCAGGGCGCGCGGGGCCGGGGCTGCAGCCTGAAGGGTTTCCCTGCAGCAAGGAGGCCCAGGCTTCACGCAGAAGCTGTCGCACGGTCAGACCTTCCCTCGGAAACCTCGCGGGGTCTGCAGCAAGGCAAGCCGATCCCGCGGAGGAGCGCGGAGGACGCGGTCGGGAGAGAACGCCCGGCCTGGAAGCGGCCAGAGTCAGGACCGCCGAGGGCGGAGCGGGAGGAGGTTCCGGCTGGACCCGCGCCGGGCCCTGCGGAAGACCGAACCGGCCCACGTGGGCCAGGCCGCCCCGCCCCGCCCCGCCGCGCAGACGCCGGCCGACTCGGCAGGCCGGCGCCG